GCCCGGCCGCGCCGCCGCGACCGCCGCGACCGCCGGCGCGAACCACTCCCCGCCGCCGCCGCCGAGCAGCGCCTCGGCCGCGTCTGCGGGCGCCGACTCGAGCAGCGCGCGGGCCGCGCCGACGGCCCAGGCGCGGTGGAGGGGGGCGTGGGGGGCGTCGTACAACAGGTGCCGCAGGATCGCCGGCGGCAGGCCGTCGTAGCCGGCCGCCTGGCGGGCGCGGACGGGGCTGCCGCGGACGAGGCAGTGTATGGCACCCATGGCGTCACCCGAGCGCCCCTGGCCGCGCGCCAACTGGATGAGCGCCTGCGGGGCGCGCGGGTTTGGTCGTGGCGGCCGGATTAGATGGTGAGAAGGATCCGCCAACGCCCTGCGCCGCCTCGACGGGCGGAGAGAGCCTTGGAGGCAGGTGGGCTCGAAAGGTGGGGGGTGCCCCCGCCCCCTGAGGCCCTGCGCGCACGCCGCGCTTCGCAATCCACAGGGCCTGCTCGCAGCCTCCACCCGCGCCCCCGCCCAAACCTGGCGGCCGCGGGGGCGGCGCGCGCCGTCGTGCATCCGGCCCCCCTCGCCCCCCTCCCCTCACTTCCTGTGGTTCAAAGCCTTGGTAATCCAAACAGTCAGACAGGGCGGGCTCCCGCATTGCGTGCGGCGCACCCCCCCTGTCATTCACCCACCACCCATCCGCCCCCATCTCACTAATGGGCCGGTCACGGGCTGCCACCAACCCCCATCCCAAAAAACCATGCGCCTTCCTGCAGCCCGAGCAGTGACCACCCTGCCTGAGCCCGACCCATCGCTATCCCAAAATCAACCCCGCCTTGCCACCTCGACCACCAGGGGGTGAGCGGTGCGCGTCTTATGCAGGCCGGACGGGGGCGCTCGCCCCACCCAACCCCCCACCCCTAAGCGGCGCTGGCCGCGCAAGCGCCCCCACCCATCTGGAAAGCATGAAACGGAGTTGTGCCGCGGAGAGAGTGCATCGAGCGGCGCGGCCCGCTCGCGCTCACCCGCCAAACGGGGTCCGGCAGCGGCTTCTGCAGTGCATCCCTCGGGCTGCCGTGGTCAAAGCCGCCCGCCGCGACTCGCTCGAGAAGCAGCAGCTCCGACGCGACGCGCTCCGCCGTCGCGCGGCCGCCGCGGCGCAGCAGCATCACCACGCGCCACGCGGCGCCTTCCAGGTCTGGGGGCCCGAGCAGCATCACCCGCAGCGGCAGCCGCACCGGCCGCGCGCATCCCGCGCGCACGGCCGCGCCGGCGGCGCCGGCGCCCGGGGGTTCGCCGGCCGTGGCTGCTGCTGCGGCGGCGGCGGCGGGGCCGCCGCTAATGCCGTGTGTTCAGCTGGTGGCGCAAGCGCGGAGCGCAGGGGGTCAGGCGCGGCGCGGGGTCGCCGCGCCGCGCGCGTGCTTCGCGCCAATCGTAGGTGCCTGTGGCGCTGGCTCTGGTGCGGCTCGCGCCCGCTGGCTGCGCCCCTCACGGTGGGAGTACCCTGAGCTGTAAGTTCACTTCAAGCGTATTGGCTAGCTGCCTAATTGCTGCTCGGGATCGCTCTCGGTGATGTTCTGGGCCTGCGTGGGTCACGGCGAGCTCGCGCGGACGCGGGTGAGGCAAGCATGCGATTTGTACTAACGAATTGTTTTCGAAGACGTGCGCGTCCACAGCGCCAGAGCCATGCCGGACCCCAGGCCCCCGCTGTGAGTTCAGCATGAGCACTCGCCGCGGGTGACGAAACGCGAACTGCCAAATCAGCGCGCTGCACACGCGCTCGTGCGCCCGCCGTCCACGCCGAGGGAGCCTTCTTTGCCATCCCGGCGCCCAGCGCTGGAATCATCCAGCCGCCGCTGCACCACTGCCTGATGGACACACCTTACTCACCGCTGGGAGCCCACGGGCGCAGCCGGCTGCGGCTGGCGCGGCGCCCATGCACCAACCGCTGAATCTGCCATTTGTGTCGGAGCAGCTACAGTTTTTTCCAGGTGTCGTCATCAACACGCCTGCTCCGCAAACCGTGCCGTGCGGGCCCGAAGAGACTGGTGGCAGCTGGAACTAAGGGTGACAGGCATTTCACCGATGGTCACACGTCCCCGCTCATGGTGCACCGGTCCTTTGCGGGTGTGCCGTAATGGTGGCACCTGCTGCTGTTCTTGGCTGAGGACCTGGCAAAGGAGAGGCGAGGCGCCAGGGTAGGCCAACAGGTGATGAATGGGCATGCAGGACAGCTCCTAGTGACCCCTGCGAGTGACACCGTCCATATCCTGCTAGACGTCGCTTTCAGAGCAGCGCCTGCAGTTGCGACTTTGAATGCATGTGCGCTGCGCACACGTGCCCCTGAAAGTGGGAGGTGTTGACGGGGAATGGCAGCTTGGGCCCCTCACCAGCAGGCGCCTAAGCTGACAGCACACACGCAGCTTTCTCGAGGATCTGCTGCCCGGACAACAGCAAGCCGTCCTTATGAACTGCGACATCATCCACCTATTTCGCCACACCCAACGGGCGGGCACAGGGGGGGCCTGCGAAGGCTGCTCCTGGGTGGACTTCATCCTCACTCTCCTCACTCTTGACCGCCGCATGCCGCATGCCGCCCCACACAGGTGACGCCAACTCCTCGAGGTTGTCGAAAGATGCCCTCGCGGGAATGGGTCGTTTAAAGTCGGAAACCAATAATTGCCGCTCGAAGTAGCGATGTGGCGTCGTTGCGATCTGCTCGGCGCCCTGCTGATTGCCTGCATCGTCTTGTTGCAGGCAGCGCTTTGCGATGGGCATAATGCACCGGAAAACGCCACCGCTACCGCCCAGCTTGCATCCCTGTCGCTGGCGGCGTGGCGGCGGGCGCGCCCCGTCCGAGCGCGCCACATGGCCACGCCGCTGCCTGCCGCTTTCCCGATGCTGCCCATGGGCGCCGCGGCGGCGCTCAACCTAACAGAATGGCAGCAAGCCTTCGGCGCGGGTTCTGCACTTAGGAACAAAACGCACGACGCGATGTTGCGCCGCCTGGCAGACACCTGGCGCCTAACTGCGGCGCAGGCCAAGGCCATTGGGCGGCCCGAGGCTGAAGGTGAGGCGACGCGGCCGCGCGAGGCCCCTGTGCAACACACGCGCACAGCTCTGCGCCGGCGCGGCCGGGAACGCGCGCGTAGCTCGCGCCGCGCGCGAGCCGGCGGAACCTCGGACAACCTCGGGCGGCGAAGCTGCGCTGCCCCCCCCCCTCGGATCCTCGTCCGAGGACGCGAGCGGGTCGCAGTTCCCTCATCGCTGTACCCTGAGCGCTCGCCTGTCACACCCGCACCGGCGGCACCGTTGTGCATGCGTCTCTTGGTATTCCGCAGGCAAGATCCGGATCTGCATCGGCGACTTCCGGCCCAACGTGATGTGTTTCAACCGCACGCCTGAGCAGTACGAAGGTTACCAGGTGGGGCTGACGCATGGCTCCCAAACTTCGGATTGCAATCAGTGATTTGGGCCAGCGGTCCAGGTAAGCAGCTGCACCGGGGCCCCCTCTCGAAAGGCCTAGCGCGCCGCCCGCCGCGGCGGCGGAGGGCGAGCATCCCCACACGGACGGCCCGCTGCGGCTGCAGGTGCGGCGGTGGCAGCGGCAGCGCTCGGCGGCCGGCCCTCGCAGCCCCGCGCCCGCCGCACACGCACGCCCTCGCCGCGACGCGCACGCCCAGGGTAGGCGGTCTTCCGCGGCCGCGCTCGATCGCGACCGGCCCGCGCCACAAGGCCGTAACGCCGCCTCGCGCCCCTCCTCGCGTGGCGCCAGGTGGAGCTGTTCCGGGCGGTCGCGCCGTCGCTGTTCTGGCTGGGCGACGCCCGCACCTCCTGGTTCTTCGACTGCGTAGGGTGAGTCTATTTGTTCATTCTTGGGGGGGACCTGCGTAATTGAGAATAGTGTGCCGGGCGCGCTGACAGCGGGCTCGACAACCTCAAGCAGCCGCGCTCTTTCGGCGCGTCACCCGCAGCGCCGCCGCCGCAGCGGCGCCGCGCCCCCTGCCAGCCGGCGCGCCGCGGGGCGTCGGCCGCGGCCCCGGCCGCATGTGTTTGCGCCGCGCCCCAAGGAGTGCCGACCAAGCCTGCCCGCCCGCCCCTCTGCGCCGCGTGCGCGCGCGTGACGTGTGCGTGACGTCATCGCAGCTGGGAGGAGCTGTTTTTCGACGTCAACACTCCAGGGGGCACGTGCATGCTGGTGCCGACGGGCATCAGCTCTGATGATGCCGAGCGGCTGTCATGGGTGGTCGACAAGGAGGGTGGGTTGCGCATGTGTGTTTGTGTGTGTGTATGTGTGTGTGTGTGCATGTGTGTGAGTGCGTGCGTGCGTGTGTATGTGTTTGTGTGTGTGTGTGTGTGTTTGTGTTTGTTTGTGCAGAAGTGTGTGTGTTTTTTCAAGTGTGTGGGGTCGACCTCGAGGGTTGTGCAGAGTATGACAAGTCGCGCTGTCGGAGGACGAGGCGTTGCCGGGCAGGCGGCCGTGCAGCTGTCATCAAAGCCACCCACGGGCTCTGATAGCTGAGGGGGTTGGCGCCAAAAACACAGCTGCGCTGCATCGGCCGCAGCATGTGCCACTGTGACGGTTGCCGGCGCAGCCGTCCGCTTTGCGCAAGCCGCCAGCCCTCATTATCTCATCCCCCGCCAGCCCTCCGCGCCTTGGAGCTTTTTGAGGCACTCTCCACGGCCCCAAACTCGCACTTTCCGCTCAGCTCCGGTCTTATGCGCTCGCTCATCTGCAGGGCTGCGGGTGCTCGTCAAGGCGAACCCCACAATTCCCCTGAAACTGTTCAGCCCCTTTGAGACGCTCTCCTGGTCCCTCTGGCTCGCGCTCGCCGTCACCGCGGTCTTCGTCGGCGCCTGCGTCTGGTTTTGCGACGTGGCAGTCAAATCCCTCTCGCGGCCGCCGCTGAGCACGCCCTGGGGCGCCGCGGGCGCGCGGCGCCGCGGGCGGCTGGGGGTGGGC